ATGGTCACGCTTTCGTTAGAGCTGTTAGAGCCCATACATTACTTCTGCTCACTTTAGCAATAATAGTATTAAAAAATCTTGTTATTGATAACGAGATCTTAATATTACCATGTTTTATTAAATGTTATAAATAACATGATTTAATATAATAGTATTGATATATTTCATATAATGATAATAAAATATGTGAAATTTATCAGTTCAATGAAAAACTAATAGAATTCGAAAAAAGGAGGACCTATAGCAAAACTATGGATACAATATTTTAATTTGGCGTTGATTGCAAAGTAGTTTGTAAGAACTAAACGCATGGGAAATTGCAAGTTTATTTGAGCAGCATTAAAGAAATGCTTCTTTATTTCCTCGCACCAGGACATTTTTCTAATGCTAAGTCTGTACACTTATATTTGCAGGGTATGTTGTAACTAGAGAAGTTAATGAATTGTAGTGTTTATCAAAGGTTTAATGAAGGGTTTTTCACTGTTACACACTCCGACAACTCAGTTGTGGTACTTCAACGGATATGGTGATCGAGCAATCATTGATGAAATCGAACAAGCGGAGGTATTGCTCGAGGAAAAAGCACAAATAACAGTGTTATATATAAATGGGTTTATAGTATGCATGCAATAAATACTATTTGTGTAGCTCTCTGATATAAGAATATATGCAATAGATCAGCATGTAAATGTAAATGATTCATGAATAAAGAAAGATTCTAGAGATACTGGAAAACTTTGTGAGTGGTTTTCATCACATAATCTTTTCCAAATAAATTAATAAATTTATTTGGAAAAGATCTGTTGTTGGCGATAATAAAATTAACTGTCATAAAGCTCGTGATGTTGGAGTCGTTTTTATGTCTAAAATAGCAGGAAACATATTTTACATACAATATATATATATATATATATATATATATATATATATATATATATATATATATATATATATATATATATATATATATATATATATATATATATGTATATATATATATATATATATATATATATATATATATATATATATATATATATATATATATATATATATATAATGGTGGCATCCCACACAAACCCGTGTGTACCACCCTTTTCATAACTTTCACCCCTTTTCATAACTTTCACCCAACTGACTATATAATTTGAAAATCACCCCAAGTTGATTTTCAAGTTATACTGTTTTTTTTACAAATTTAGTCGACTAGTCGGGTATTTGACATAATTCAGTCGGGTAAATTTAGTTTTAAGGACCTTTTTTTTCTTTTTGAAGAAGCCAGTCGGTACTTTTAAAGGCTTCAACCCCCTCATTTTATTCATAAAATCGCCTCTGTATATATATATATATATATATATATATATATATATATATATATATATATATATATATATATATATATATATATATACACTAATAAAATTTGTACCCCATCAAATTGAGGCAGGTTCAAAATTTAGATCACGCAAAGTGATTATTGATTAAGATTTATCGATGAATATAAATTTATTAAGAATATTACATAAAATATTTCATCAACTTGTTGCTCTCACGTTTGGTGTATTTGTAGCCAAAATTTTAGAGTCTTTTTGTTCCCTTTTTTGTTAAGAGAATGCAATGATCAACTGTGTCGAATGGTTGATCTATAAATACTCCTTAACTAAGTTTGTTTTTGTTAAAACCAACAGAGTTATTTGGTTGACTATTTTAATAACTGCATGCTCAGTTGATTGATTTTTCTGAAATCTGAATTGTTTTGTGTAGAATAAGTTGTTTTTAGTGAATTTCCAAATGATTGTTGCATTTGTAAATTAAGATTCTATTATCTATTTTAATAATTTCAGGGAGAGTACCGCACTTTACTTGAAGTTTCAGAAAAAGAGACAGAGGTTTGGTTTAACTAGTTTTGTTAAAAATAACTAAACTACTTCATATTTTATCATTTATTTTGGATTTTTTTAAAAAGATTATGCTGTTTTGAATTCTTTATAGCTTCATTCATTATCACACAATATGTGTGATAATATCATTTGAGTATTTTAGGTAGATTTTAAATGATGTTTGTGTTATTTTATTGGCAAGTTTCGAACCATCATTTGTGAAATACTTGTTGAACTCTTTTGAGATTAGATTTTGATAGAATATGTAAATACAATGGTCGAATCTCTAAGGTAGCTACTAAAGAAAATATTTCAAAGATTGCTGCATTTTTTGAAAATAAGTCAGGGTGTTCCCAAAAGAAAGTAGCTCAAGTTTTTAACTGTAGTCAAACTCGAATTTCCCAAGTATTAAATTAAACAATGAATAACATTCGAACTTTCAAAAAAAAACAAATTGTCTAGATCCGAGCCATTAGCAGAAGAAAGCTATGCGTCCTAAATGTCATAAATTGTACGAAAATTATAAAAACTTGGATTTTGTTATGAATGATGAAAGCTATTTTACCTTAAACAATAGCACATTAGCTGGTAATGATAGGTTTTATGCCGCTGATCCTTCTCAATTTTTTGACGAAGTAAGATACAATTTGCGTAAAAACTACGAGGACAAGCACTTAGTTTCTTGTTGCATCAGCCCCCGTGGAATAAGCCCTCTTTATGTTCATCACAGCAAGCAGGCAATCAAGCAGTACACTTATAAAGAGATACTACAGAAAACTTTATTTCCTCTAGTATCAGAATAATATAAAAAAGACAATAAGTTTATCTTCTGCCCTGATCTAGCTCGATCACATTACGCAAAGTCGGTCATCGACTTACTAAAATTGAAAAAAAACAAAGCTGTACCCAAAGATATAAACCCAGTTAACGTTCCAGAAGCAATTAAAAACTTTTGTGGTGATTTAAAACGGCTAGTGTACAAGAATAATTGGAGAGCTGAGAATTTGGAAGAGATTGAAGCAAGAATTATATATTGCTTTTCAAAGATGAATAAAGAAATTTTCCTCACTCAAATAAAACATCTTTCAAAAAAACTTTATAATATTGCTAAATATGGTATTTAAAATGATTATTTTAATATATTTATAAACAACATATACTAACATATTAACAGTTGAAATATTAAATAATAAAACTTATTAGTTCTTAAAATATTAATTTTTAAATTTTGTCCAAAATTTTATTTATAAGGTGTTCCGGTTTCAAACGTTGTTTCTAGGTAGTTGTTAATAAAAAGTATTGTTAATTGCAGTTGCTGAGTTTTTTTGTAACACGTGTGGGTTTTTTTGTAACACGCGTGGGTTTTTTTGTAACACGTGTGACCCGTGTTGTTGAGTTTTTTTGTAACACGTGTGGGTTTTTTTGTAACACGTGTGACCCGTGTTGCTGAGTTTTTTTGTAACACGTGTGGGTTTATTATGAAATTGAGTTTAAAGAGTATATCAAAGAAAGATTTTGTTCTTAGGAAACTTGCAATAATTTGAAACTTGATAATTTGAAATTTTTGTGTTTCAGATATGACATTTTTATTATTTGACAAAAGCATTTTCATTCTTTTGTCGAATAAGAATGTTTTGTAAAATATTGCGGTGATCAGAGTTTGGGACCAAAAATACCCTAAAAAGTTTGCAGCCCCATAAAATATTTTAATTTACTACGTTATACAAAATTCAAATTTATCAATAGTTTTTCAATCTTTCACAACAATATAAATTTTTTAATCTTTTAAATCTTTTACGACAATTTAAATTTTCCACCCTCCCCAAAATGGGTTGTAAATTTTACATATTAATAACTTTTGAATATTAAAAAGTTATAAAAGGAAACTTAAAACCTGTGAATTTAAATTTATTGTAAGGTAGTACAATAAGATATTTACGAAACTCATTGCATAACGCAATGCAACAAAAATACCCCAAAAAATAATTTGCTATCTCAAACCCTAATGCAATGCATTAGGGTTTGAGATAGCAAATTACTTTTTGGGTATTTTTGTTCCCAGGCTCCAATCACCGCATTTTTTTTTGCAAAGCATTTTTAATTTGACTTGAGAATGAACCTGCATAAATATGTAGTTTTTACAATACCAGAGAGTATCATATCCAAAACATCAAAAAACACTGCGTCCGCCACTGATCATTATTATATATTTTAATACATACATATATATATATATATATATATATATATATATATATATATATATATATATATATATATATATATATATATATATATATATATATAAATAAGGCCGGTGCGATAGGGGGTATGACCCTTTCGATATAGGTTAGCCGGTAATCTCGATAGTCGGCAAATGTCGTCATGGCAGTGGCAAATTTTCGAAAAAAGGACCTTTTTTTTTTTTAGTCAGCAAAAGTTGTAATGCCCCCCCCCCACGTGACACCTACTCGCGCCGGCCCTATATATATATATATATATATATATATATATATATATATATATATATATATATATATATATATATATATATATATATATATATATATATATATATATGTATATATATATATATATATATATATATATATATATATATATATATATATATATATATATATATATATATATATATATATATATATATATATATATATATATCTTACAGTTTATTTTTTAGTTAATTTAAATTTTTTTACAAAAATCTGCTAGTTACAAAGCATTTTTTATTGTCATTATTTGCGAACAATTTGGAAAGCGGGAAAATATTCAGAAAAGTCTGCAATGAAAATACCAGATTCACAATGCGTTTCTGAAGAACAATTTGTTAGAATATTATTAATGATAATTGATAATTTTACAGTAATACGCGTAGGCGTATTACAGGTAGATATCATTTTAAAATCAAGTTATACAAAAAGTATTTTGCATTTTCAAACTTTTCATAATATAGTGTATCCATACTTAAATCATCTGCAAAAAAATATACTTGTTTTGTTTACTCCTTTTTGACGTAATAATCCTCAAATAATTCGGAAAACTAACTTGCTAGATACATTGCTAGAAGTTGTTATTAAGAGGAGATTAAAATAGACTTACCGGTTTTATTTACAAAAGGTTTCAATATGCTTGTTTGATTTGCCGAATTTTTTTATTTGATTTTGAATTCAAATTTGTCAAGTGTAAACAATGCAACACCACCTTGCTTGCTTTCCAGTCGAGGCTTACTTATAATATTATAAGAAAATATAGAAAATTTTCTGAAATTGATAAATTTGCCCTTTTTCTTGATCCTGAAAAATATATTTCGTCAAAAACATAGTTTAATGAATATTCAAAAAATTTAAATGTAAATTATTGCTCATAAATCATCTACTTACGCTTAAAATACTTAAACCTTTTTTAATTTTTTTTTTTTTTTTTCTTAATTTTTTCAGGTTTTTAGTTTTCATTATTCAAATAAATAAATCTAATTGCGTTAAAAAAAACTGTACTCGTTTTTATTAGTTTCCAAATTTTCTCAACTAGGATGGATGGAAACTAGGATCATGCGTGTTTAATTCTATTACTATGTATATTACTTTACGATTATGTATATGATTTTTATACAAAGTAAAAGCAAATAGATATTATAAATGCTGCAAATAAATGTATAAATTTGCCTAAAGATATTATAAATGCTGCTAAAAAATATATTAGCCTAATGTTTTTGTTTTATGTATATGATGTATATAGAGAGTAAAACCATAGATATTATAAATGTAGCTAAAAAGCTATTGAAAATTTATCGAAAATTCAAACACTCTTCGAAAAGATATTGAGTAGAGAGAGAGGAAAAAAGTTATCGGGGAGAGAGCGGAATAAAAAGTTATAGGGGAGAAAAAAGAAAAAAAAGTTATTGTTGAGAATGAGGAATTTACTTTATAACATGATTGAAACTAATGAATTACTATCGAACGTTTTGATAATTAAAAAAAATTCTTTATGAATTTAACTGATATTTTTTTAATAATAACAACTTTTTGCTTCAAAAATGATCATTCCAAATAAAAAACCTTAGAATATATAAATAAATAGTTGATAAGCAAATATTGATAACAAAGCAAATATTACCCCAAATATTCTCAGTTAATGCTTTCGTCTTGTGATTTGAGTTAAACAAAAACCTAAACAAATAAAACAAAACGAAATAATATTTCTTGATTTAAAGATTTATGTAATAAACGATTAAAAATAAACCGTTGAATCGCCGTTTTAAATCTCTAATTTTGCTATAAATTCAAATTGCACAGCGGCGCATAATAAGTATATTCGATATACAAACTCAGTAGGCATGAAAACGACTTTTGACTAGTGAACGTCTTGATCGTCATAATAAATTTTCTCTGTAATAGATTTTTTGTTATAAAGTTATTGCTATGAAAAACATTCAGCCCATTTAAAAAGACGTTCTAACATTTTATAGGTATTTTACAAAAAGTTTTTGGTTTCTACAATGCGTTTTAAAAGTTTGTCTGAAGAATAAGGAACAATTTCATTATATGGGGATATAAGAAAACTGATTAAAATTGTCGGTGAAAAGTCATTATCTCAAAAAATGCGATTTTGGAGTTTTAATACTTTTGAACAGTGATTTATCATTTACATCTTCTGTTAAAACCCTGTAAATCAAATACTAATAGAAATACATTTTTTGTCACATGACACAAAACTCACAAATCTATTGATGCATGACATTATATCTAAATGTTTAGTTAAATTTAGTTTGATTAAATATTTAAATTTCAAATACTTGGTTCATTACCTGACACTGCTAGAATATCTAAAAATAAATTTGCTCTTTTTTGAGCAACAATAGATATTTATTATGAATTGAATGTTTATGCAATATGCGGAATGTTTATGCAATATGCGGAATGTTTATGCAATATGCGGAATGTTTATGCAATATATCTAATGGTTATTTATGAAGGCCATAAAAAACAAACAAACGACATAGTAACATTTAAAAAGATTTGAAAAAGTATATATTGATCATTTATAACGTCTTCATATAAAGAAAACTAAAAATCCGAAAAATAAAAGTTCTAAAGTAAAATTTTCGTACTTTTTATTTAAAACTTTTTAACTTGATTTGCTTTATACAAACTTTTATAAATGATCAATATTTAAAACCTTTCAAATATTATTATGTCGTTTATACCTTGTGGTCTTCATATATTATTGCTTTTTAGAACCTGTATTTGAACCTGAACAGGAAAATTTACTTGAAAAATACCTCATGAAAGCATATGACCAATACAATGGTCGCTTATGAAAAGTTATAAATGGCGGAAATACTTGACTTGTGTAGACAAAAAATTATTTAAATGTTTGTAGTGTAATGATTTTTATTTATTTTTTAATAAGAATAATCAAATCAGATGATAAATACATAATATATAAATTTTTTTCGGCTGTTAAAATGGTTATGATAGTGTAATTTTTAAGTTATATAATATATAGTTATAGTATAACAAAAACTTTCAAATCAAATCAGAAATTTTTATCTTAACGTTTAAATCAGAAATCTCAAAAGGATTTCCGACTCAGGAAATAAAGTTGTATTGCTATATTTTTACTTATTAAGAATTAATATTTTGAATATAAAAACTCTGACTTTGCATTGTAACCTCCAATTAAATGAAGTATAATGACAATCTGTAATACGTGTTAGCATAATTAATAAGAAAAACAATAATAGTATTATATTTGTTGGTTTTGATAATTAAATACTAAGTTAGCACAAGTTTTTTGAAACCATAGAGACGCTAATGAACCATAGAGACGCAAATAAATCATAGTTTTTATTTTTAATCAACCGGTAACGTTTCATATATTACCGATTTAAGTTTTTTTTTTTTTTTTTTCTAAGTTGATTAAGGTGCCCCAAGAAGTTCTTACGGTCTTATCACAGAGCACCGCAGAAGAGCATTTAATAGGAGGTTCACGCCTCCTTCCCAACCCATGTCGCAAAACTTGCCCAGAGGTGGGGCAAGTTTTGAAAACCAGTTTACAATACTGGCAAGTAAACTGTATTTCAAAACTGGTTTTGAAAACCAGTTTTGAAATACAGTTTACTTGCAACTTAGCTCTAACGGCTAAGTTGCAAGCTAGATAAATTAATTTATGCAAACCTTCCAAATTAAAGCAACAATACCAAGTAAATGTTTTTTGAAATCTGTGTTAGTTGATTTGAATGAATGTCCTTGATCATATTCTTAGAATGAGATTTCAAATCCCCTAATCTTATCTCAATCATGAAATAACGATTGGTATGTATAAAAGAAATTTCTGCCGGGTACGTTTTATCATATACTATTGTAAACTGGTTTTCAAAAGTATCTCTCTATACCACAAAACCATAATTTTGTAACTTCGTTTAAACAAATAAAAATCCTGAGCTAAACCTCATAACATTAGTACATTCTGCATTATTTTTCAAGTAATGAAAATTTTTCGAATTTGAATAAGATTTATTTTACATGCAGAATTATTGTATAAATAAAATAGGAATATAAAAGGATATAAAAATAAAGAATAAAAAAAAATTCAGTTTGTTTCTCTCTTGTGTTTAGAAGTGCTTCTCTAACCTTTTTAGATCGTTTTCCTTTTATTAAACTTTTTAAAAAGATAAGTCCAGTTTTTGAGATTGTTTTACAATTTTTTTTTTTTTTTTTTTTGATTTCGAATACATTTTTAAAAATGTTTTATTAAAAAAGCGAACAATATTTGAATAGCGAATATTATTTGATTACACTCCATAATTTTAAAATACTAAAAAAAAACTTAGAATGTACTTTAAACCATATTGTTATAAATTTTAAATTTTGAATATTAAAATGTTTCAATTATAAACCATAGTGGAAGTAGACTGGGCCTGATCTTATCACAATTCAGATTCATTCCAGTCAAAGAAGAAAAAAGCTCTTTGAAAACTTTGTGTTTTATGAAATTTGGGTTATATACAATAGGGGAGAACGGGGTGAGATGGGACAAAAAAATTTGTTTGTTTGCCGCGCTTTATATTTTTGTCAAACACCATACAATTTGATTTAAAACTATAGTCTAATGAGTTGTCATGGGAAATTATTTAAAAACCCATTACTTAACCATCAAATTAAGTTCACGGCCTCGTTTTTTTAATGTGACACTGTTTGTCCCATGTCAGCCCGTGTTGGGGTGAAATGGGACAACGTTTGGGGTGAAATGGGACAAGTTAGAAACAAATAATTTTGAGCATTATTTTACTCTGTCTATTCTACTTCTTATATAACAATACACAATTTTTGTTTGTGTACAATTAAAATAAGATATTCTAAATGCATTTATAACTTTGTTCAACAAGGTTGCTTGATGTTTAAATAGAGTCAATATTGCGTTGATGTCTCAAGGGGTAACTTTTTTGCTTTTTCTTATTTTTATCTTCCTTTTTTTTCTTCTAATAAACTTACAACTAGTTCATTCTGTGGCAACTTGTTAGATTTTAACATATTCGAAAATAATTTGAACTTTAAAATACTTTTGTAACTCAAAAAACACAATAATCTGAAGTACTTATTGTAATCTTATCACATATATAAAAAACTGCTTTAACAATTTTTTTGCTGAGAAATCGCTATGTCCCATCTCACCCCATGTCCCATCTCAACCCGTTCTCCCCTACATGGTTTACTTCCCCAAATGCAACAAAAGCTACTTGATGTTACCCAGATTTAATAAACCTCCTCCTTTAACTTCCAAAAGATGAAGTTTCATAGACTACATTGAACAAGCCATTAGATTTTGTGGCAATTTATTTTCAATTTTATGGTTCCTACTATAACGTAGCGGTGGATGCTTGATAAGCTTCACGGCAATAAAGATGAGGGAAAGCCAATGAATAAAGATGAGGAGGGGTCTATGAAAAGTTCTAAGTACCAGGAATCTGAAAGAGAAACAGTTAAAATATTATGTTACTCCAAAAGTCCGAATAAATATATTTAATTTTTTAAAAATAAATTATTGTGTTTGGAACCCGATATATACCGGGTTTCTCAATCAAGTATCAAGTTGTTTACCTTAATGAGATTTGACTAAAATTTTAAATCTGGCCAAGAGATTGTAAAGAGTTTTAAAGTTTTTAATGACACCACAGAATGTGGGGCTGCTTTTGTGCAAAACATAACACACTGTTGATGATAAATGAAAACGTGTTTCTGCTGCTTTTTATTGTTGACAGATTCTCAGAATTTTACAAGAATCTCTTACACTATCAAAGTGTTTATGGACTAACAGAACAAAATAAAATAGATTATAAAATAAATTTTTTTAAGATTTTTATATTTAAGTTGCTGCTTAGAGATTGAAACAGCTATCAGGGGGAGAAGAGCAAAACTTGACCATGTAACATTATTCAGCACAATTTCAAAAAAACTTGACCATGTAACATTATTCAGCACAATTTCAAAAAAAATTGACCATGTAACATTTTTCAGCATAATTTCAAAAAAAATTTCCATATTAAATTTGCAATATAAGGATGGAAGTTGACTTGAAAGATTTAAATTTTGTCATATTTATGAGCTAGTTTTAATGGTTTTTCTGGCCACTTGCATTTCCTAATATTTTTACGTATTGTTATTCGCAATATTTGTAAAAAAATGTTTTTAAAATGATCATGATTGAAAAGCAATTTTTTCTTAAATAAATTCTCGTTAAAGAACAAATGTTTGAGAATTTCTGGAGAAGACCATCAAAACTTATACTTTAAAGTCACATATAAATTGCACAAATCAATTAAGATGCATTTAGACTATTTTAAATTAATGCGGAGATTTTTATTATTTAAAAAAAGTCTTTTTTCTTAAATAAAGTAGCTGTCGCACTGTGGTTATAGTTCTGGCTCAGAACAAAAAGGTCTAAAATTCGATGACGACTCAAATATTTCTCATAAATATTTCCCATAAGATATAAACTGTTTTTTTGTTTTTTTGTTTGGACTTACTTTTACCGACGTGTTTAGCATAAAATGTGCATTGGTTAGTTTAATGAAAATGAAGGCAAAAAAATTTGTTCAAAATTCTATTTTAACCAGTATCGTTTTGTGCGAAAGAAGTTTTAAGCAGGGGTGTACTTGATGAGTTTTTTTTGAAGCCAAAAACAAAC